GGTGTCTCACAGACAGGCTGTGCCGGTGGGAGAGGCCAGCTGGATCAAGTTTGGATGYGTTGTTTATGCTAAAGCTATTACTCTCTGTCTGGGCAGCGTGCCCCGAGTGCTGGACCGCTCAGCGGCTACTGAATTATTCACCCCACAGATCCACCATCSTCTGTACACAAGCTGTCACATGTAGCTGAACGATAAGCTGATTGTCCAACAACGATGCCCCTGTTGCCTCGTGTCTGTGGTCAGAATCAGTTTGAGCTGCTGTCTCTATCACACAGCAGTCAGAGGTTGATTGTGGAAAAAGTTACGAGTAACTATTTTACCTGTTTTAGGTACCTCTTAAAATGGCCTCAAATTGAAAAAAAAAAGTTAATTCTGTCAGTAAACACTGCTGTCTCCTTGGTCATTACAAACAACAATAAAAGGAAAAACAATGTATTTCACTAAAGTGAAGTATGTCACTTAGCTATCTGCAAGATATCAACAGCAAAATGCTGATTCAGCACTTTTTCCTACTTTTAACTGACATTTTGCTTCTTTAGCTTTTAGATAGCCTTCTTGGCTAGCCCTTTTCAACTTAGCCTGTAGGTAGGCTTGTGACATAAAWTTTTTTAGCTAACCTTATGCTGCTTTGAAATTTGCTATATTAAGCTTTTAGTGTTTTGCTACTTTTATTTTGTTACTGTTTGTTTATTTGCCTCCATAATTGTCAAGTTATATGGACTGTCAAGCAGTTACACAGCTTTTCCAMCATTTTGCATGTATATAGACGTATACAGACAAAGCCAAACTTTTTTTTTCTAAAGCTCATCAAATTTGTAATTTCTGAAGGTATAAACATCCAAAGGTTGACATGTATGAAAATGCAGGACTTTTGCTATTCACTGCAAAAACTGTCCAGCTTACCAAGTTTTCAAATCTTGTATCCAGACAAAAAATCTTTTTGATCTTGTTTTGAGACTGATTTACTAAACAAGAACTGCTTGTGTAAGAATAATAGTCTTGTTTTCAGAATGTGTAAGATTATTTGTTTGTTAGCCTGAAAATTTGACTCAAATTAAGTCAAAAATTTCTGCCAATGGAGTAAGAAATTTTTACTTGGTAAGATTCTTGAAATACTTGATTTGACTCAATTTTTTCTTATTTTAGGTAGTATATGTTGCTACTTTTAAGTAGCATTTTATTTCTGTTAGCTTTTAGCTAACATTGTCTTACTTTTGGCTTTGAATTGCTATATTAATAATGCAGCTTCTGCAGCAGCATTCAATCTGCATTTTACATAAAATAGTTCCTTTAGTTGTTCATTACTTTTTCATATCATTTTAAGATCATAATTTTAAAAAGTAAATCTGCTTTAAATGTTAAACATGTACTTTTAGTACCTTAATGAAATTAATTAGTCTATGTTAAGGACCAAATCTTTTTTTTC